CCTACCCCCCGGTGAGCTGGGTACTCATTTTACCAACCTCGGGAGGATAGAAGGTTGAGTCAAACTTGAGCCGGCTACCTGGGATTGAACCCTGGGTCGTGAGCAGAGTTTTGGCTGCAGTACAGCATTTTAAACCACTGCACCACAAGGCTCAATCAATATGGGGCATAGAAGTGACACAGTCCTTACCAAACACTTCCAGTGGAAAGAGCAATAAGTGGTGGGAAAGAGGAGGAGGTATGGCAAGCTGGAGCGGAAGGCAATGTGCTTATGATCATATAGGAAAAGCTTTCCAGTACTCTCAGGTTGGGTGGAGATGAATCTTAGCCCTATTCATAAATGCTGATCATATGAACAAACTCAGAGAGGAGTGCCCAGCGCCCCCCCCAGCCGCGTCCTTGTGTTCTACCCAGCTTCAGAAATGAGTCTGAAAAGGAGAAAGCTATGCTAATAATATGTAGGCACTGCATGTGAGCAAGAACTGTACTGCCTAAACACCAACAGACTCAATGATGAAATTGGATAGAACAATATCAACAGAGGGTTAGAACTCCCCTCTGTATCCATAGAACAACACTGATAATGGCTGAATAGGACTGAGAAGAGGTAATCTTCCAGGAAGAATCAGTGCAGTTTTAGTACTATGGAATGGCTCTGTTGGGAAAATTCTGATCCTGGTCCGTGAGAATTTTTGCAGATTTCTTCCTGAAGTAAATGAACTACTGAATGTCACTTTGTATGTTAAGGTTGAATGTGCTGCTTATAATCCTGAACCATATTCATGTGAAGAAACGGATCCAGATTCCCTTTCTATAGAGCATGGTTTTCTATGGGTAAGAATTTACATGGTTTTGTTTTATTTTTGTACCCCAAAGGTCAAATGTGATCCTAGTTTAACTGTGATGCCAGGTTTTGCAGCTGAAGAAGTTGGTCACAAGTAGATTTTTTTTCACCAAACTTAAATGATACCCTGTGAAATCCATGATCAAATCTCAAGCACCATTGTCTGAGGGGAGGGGAGGAAAGCAGTACAGCAGAATTTGGCATTTTTACTCCCTTTTGTCTGCTATTCTCTAGAGTGGTCCTCGCTTGACCAGATAGGATGCCAGGTTTTGCAGCTGAAGAAGTTGGTCACAAGTAGATTTTTTTTCACCAAACTTAAATGATACCCTGTGAAATCCATGATCAAATCTCAAGCACCATTGTCTGAGGGGAGGGGAGGAAAGCAGTACAGCAGAATTTGGCATTTTTACTCCCTTTTGTCTGCTATTCTCTAGAGTGGTCCTCGCTTGACCAGATAGACGGGATATTAAATAAAATAAATACAAGGCTGTCCTACACCTCCGCCCAAACACCACCACATTCCCTCTCAAGATTCTCTTTGCCAGATCGTATTATGACCCTGAGGAGCAAAGAGTAATTAGCTGGGAGGTGGCAGGTTAGAGAAATGACATGGAAAAGGAACAGTTTAAACATCCACTCCCCTCGTCTGATTTGTACCCTCCTGCACATGCATACTGCAGCTGTTCTAAAATTAAAAAGAAAAGAAAAAAACTACTGTAGAATTGTGATCTGTTATGATTTTCACTACTATACCTCTTGTAGTGAGGACTGCTGGGAGTTGCAGTTCAGCAACATCTGGAGGGCCACATTTTGCCCAGGTCTGAACTAAATGGTACGGTACAGTTTATTGTTACAGTCCTTAGATCAATGAAACGGGGGAAAAGGATAGACCTTTACAGTTTCTCAAATTCAAAATACTTTGTAAAAACATTTCACATTAAAAATAATTTAAGGTCTAGTACTGTATCTAGTTACCATAAAATTTCAACATTTCAGATACTTCATAAAAACATTTGCATTTAAAAAACAATTTAAAATCTAGTATCTAGTTACCATGGAATTTCTGAGACCTGAGTATCACCATACAAAATCTGGCTACTTGATAAGTGATCTTGGAGTCTATATCAGAAAGAAGAAACTCAGGTCAGGGTGTGAAAAGTTGTTGAGTGGAATGAACAGGATGGAATAATTGGTCAAATAGGAAGTTAGTGAGGCGGCCAACCAGGATTGCTCGTAATCTTTTCACATGCTTCTCTAGAAGATGCTAAAGTCATGTGAATACGGTATCTCGACTTGAGAACGTCCCTAGATAAGAACGATTCGAGTTAAGAACGGCTCTGTTCGCAAAAAGTTGCTTCGATTTGAGAATGGAGCCTCGACTGAAGAACCAGAAGAAGAAGAAGAAGAAGAAAACCCTTTCCTTCCCTTTTTTTTTTTTTTGACCTAAGTTCACCTTAGGTCAAAAGAAGAAGAAAAATTCACCCCCTAGTGGTAGATACGGATTAACTGGTTTTGCACTAGTTCCTATGGGAACTAATGCTTCGACTTAAGAATGAAAAACAGCAGATAACGGATTAAATGGTTTTCAGTGCATTCCTATGGGAAATGGTGCTTCGACTTAAGAACGTTTCAACTTAAGAACACAGTCCCAATACGGATTAAGTTCTTAAGTCGCGGTACCACTGTACTTCTCCTACCCACTCCCAAAGTCTGTTCATTCTCACTGTTGTGAATTTCCAGTGACTTTTATAGCCAATTAGGCTTTAAGTATCATTTAGCATATATTTATACTTGTGGTATATTATTGTGGTATATTATTGAATTAAAGGGCTATAGAATTTCTTTTGAAAGAATAACGATCACTGCTTGCATCTTAAGAATGAAGTATAATTTTATTTTTTCCAACATTTTCATTTGGTATAATATTCTAAACTGTTTTATTATAGCCTTCAGTTAACCTTAATTGAACTTCTGATAATGTGATGAAGCTAAATTTAGTTAGTTTGTTGTGCTGCAGGCGTTATTGTTTACAGAGATAATGCTTAGAGAAGAACATTAACTTTTTCTCCCAAATTTAGATTGGCAGTTGTACCAATCAAATGGGCCAGATTGCCATTGTTTCATTTCAAAATTCCAGTCCAAAAGTTATTGAATGCTTCAATGTGGAGTCAAGAATACTCTGCATGGTCTACATTCCAGAAGAGGAGAAACATAAAGAGCCAGACCTGCCCACTGAGCCTGAAGATATACCGAAAAAACCTCCAGGTGTCCCAACCATTTGCCTGGGCATGGAAGAAGGAAGGTGCTTTTCATATTTGTATCTCACTTCCTTGGGTTGTACATTGTTTATTTCGCTTTCCTGTACTAGATGTGTGTGATAGGGAGCTATGCGTACATGGGAGAGAGACTTGCCTAAAAGCACGACAAGCTTCTACATTTTATCATAGATTTCCTGTTATAGAATCATCAATTACTAATCCCACTTTTTCATGTTTTTAGAGGTTGAACATCCTTTCTGTATACCTGTCTGCAATGAAATAAATGGGGAAACATTATCATTTTATGTACACCTTGTCACCTGTTCAATGAATAACCACAGAAAGATTCAAAGTGTCAGTTATTCTTGATATTTAGTTAGAGCTGTGCTCTCCCATGCTCAATAGCCCAGCAACTAACCATTTTTGATTTCCCTAATACTTAAAATAGTGGGCCAATGTTTTCCCTTTCTCCCCATCTCTTTTTCATTATATTTGGAACACAACAGTTATAGCTCCTTTGGAGGCAAAAGAAGAAGAAGAAGGGAAGTAGTTCATTGGAAAACCTAAGCAATATTAGATGTAGATTATGGAGGATATGGCTTCATTAAAAAGCTCCAACTTTATAGTCCTATCCAAGGACAATTAAAGTCAAAATAAACTAGCTCATCCAATTTCTATACGATTCAATATTTCATGATGTACAGAAGTATAATGGCCTAAAAGCAACAACTCAAGAGCATGGCAACTATTCCTGTATTTAGGGTCAGGGTGCCTGACTTCATTAATTGTATTTGATGCCCAGCGCGAATGAGGAAAGTGTGAAAGTGTAAGTAAGCATGTAAACACCAAAAAGCCTTGCAGCCTCTTAAAGACTATCAAGGTGTATGAGGATAATTTGCATCTGAGCTGCAACACACCGAAGTTTATAACAAATAAAACATGCTGCTGCTTCAAGTGCCATCAGGCACTTCGTTGTTTTGACTGCCACAAACTAACATTGGCCACACACACACACACGCAATTGTTACAAACATACACCTATATTGGTTGTTGTGGGTTTTTCGCGCTCTTTGGCTGTGTTCAGAACATGGCCGAAGAGCCCAAAAAACCCACAACAACCATTAGATCCCGGCTGTGAAAAGCCTTCGCGAATACATACACCTATATTCTCTGTCAGGAAAACCAGATGTTGCAATGTAAGCAAAGGCCTGCCACAGGTTGTAGTTTTTGTGTAGGCAAATTAAAGCTTTCATCTTGTTAAAAAAAATCAGTTGTAACATGTCAGTATTAAAAGAACTAATCTTTTATGCAGTAGCTCTAGTTGTATTGGACAAAAGTCTGTATTTGCACATTCGTTCCTTCCTTCCTTTGCCCCTGTGTGGGTGAAGGGTGAATGTATGTATGTATGTATGTATGTATGTATGTATGTATGTATGTATGTATGTATGTATGTATTTATTTATTTATT